TGGGGTCGCAATGAATCGACGAGTCACCGGCGTTTGTTTGAGCGCTGTCGAAAACACAACGCCAAGTTCGGCGATCTGACCTGGAACGCGTGGCCGGGGTCGCGAAGGTCGTGAGACAAGTCCGGTCGTAACTCTCACTGCAACGTAGTACACGCGCCAGTACACGCGTGGCAAAGAAGCAGCTGCGAAAATGGTCAACATTGACACACGGCGAATTTTGGATCTGTCTCATCCACATTGCCGATCTGTTTCAGTGGCGAAGCTGTCTCGCACGCGCCCACGCCGCACGGACTCTGGTAGCTTGTTTCTTCGCATCGTGTTTCTACTCAGCCAAACGCAGCGTGTTATTTTCGTTTTTGTGCCAAACTCTATCGTAGGAAACCGTTCTAGCCTAGCGGAATGCCCTGGTTCTTGAGATCGACGATTCCGTACCTCAATGGGTCCCCACCTTTGAAATTATAACGGAGAGGTGCGGCGTACGCTGTGATTGGAAGACACAAAGTGTCAATCCTCGGCGCGCCTCGGTCTCATTTTCCGTATCACAGGAAGGGGTCGACAGTCTGCAACGGTAACTCAACCTGAATCGGCATGGAAAGGCTAGGGAAGGATAGCGAAACAAGGATACCTCTTACCGCGTACAACACGTTAGTAAATCTGTTAATCAAAAGAAAACAACAAACAAACGATGAAACATAAATACAGATATCACCGGCTAAGCTATATCGTAAACACAGATCCATAGCCAATCTTTGTTTATTAAAAATTTGAATTCGTGGTTTTGCTATGTCGTGATATCGACCAAATGGTATCGGCAATCGTGACTCAAAAATTACGCGGCGCGTGACGAAATCGGACGTACCCAATTCCTGGGCGGAGCTGTCTTAGCTCATTCGTCACATTTACTTTACGCACTATGGTGAGTTTTTGTGCCGTAGTATGCCTCTGTTGGTAGGGATAAAAACACGCTGAATGCGGCTTCCCTAAATTGCAACATCTGATATCATACTTTGAAGCGGCTAGGCGTCTCGCCCTCCTCATCGCATAGGCTTACTTACTATATCCTTTCGACGCGTTGAGTCACGTCACGCCGTTGCCATGAAATTCGAATACCACGCTAGCTATCACTACGAAAATTAGCGCGCAGTGCTCGGCAATTCGCGAGGTATTTTACTGTTAAAAAAAACAAAAATTCTAAACTCGTGGCTATGTATACAGTGATTTTACGATGTAGCTTACCCTATCGTCGCCGGGTAGATCTATCTCTTCTTCTTCTTCTTCTTCTTCTTCTTCTTCTTCTTCTTCTTCTTCTTCATCTGCTCATCTGCTGCTCCTCTGTTAGTTTTTCCTTCTCCATCTTCTCCGTCTGCTTCTCCCTCTTCGTGAATTGTTCATTTGAATTCGTGGTTTCGCTATGTCGTGGTATCGACCAAATGATATCGGCTAGCAGCCGTGACTCAAAAATGACGCGACGCGTGACTAAATCGGACGTACCCATTCCCGGGCAGAACTGTTTTAGCTCGTTCGTCACCTTTATTTAAATATCTTTATTATGCACTATGGTGAGTTTTTACCGTAGTATGCCTCTGTTGGCAGGGACGCTAATTTCAGCTTACCCTATTGACCACGTTCGAGGTCATACTTTAGAAGCGGCTAGGCGTCTCGCCTTTCTCATCGCACTATCTCAACATCTCTCCTTTCGACGCTTTGAGTCACCGTCACGCCGTACAATGAAATTCGAATACCACGCTAGCTGGTACGAAAATTACGAAAGCCACTGCTCAAGTTATTCCACTGCCTCGCCAGGCTAGAAGCGCTGGTTACAATGTACAATACAACACAATGTACACAATACCTTAATGAAATGGATGCCCGGTTGGTAGTATAACCTGAATGTAATATTGGTCGCTACAATATATGTATAATTATATATATATATATATATATATATATATATATATCGTCTCTCTCTTCTTC